ACTCAATGGGAAAGGAAAGGATTCTTATTTCAACCGTTGCGTATATTAGCAGCAACACATGAATCAAGATGCTATGACCAAAAATTTTAGATTGACAGATGACCGTTGATATAGGATTGGCTGAACTTAGATTTACAGGCTGACGTATAACTAACTGGCCTGCATAAGAGAATGAAAAAAAAAAAAAACACAAATTTTAAGACAGGATCTTTTAAAATAGAATTTTCATGTTTTATTTTGGGACAATATGGTCTGATAAAGAGTACATTTATATACATGTTTAAGCCAGAAATATTTGACATTTAAATATAATTTCCCTATGACTTTAAAGATTTTTTGGAAGATACTGTGGACTGACTTAAACATGAACACCAACAAACATCTCCTAAAGTTGGAAAAACTTTGCTTGGAGCAAATGATAGAATCCTAGAGGTGTTTTTTTTTTTTTTTTTTTTACATGCGTTCATAAAGTGGTAAAACTAGTTTTATTTTAGGTGTTTTCCTTTGAATAAATCATTTAATTAAGCAGAGATAAATTAAAAACTGTCACACTAATTGGTGCAGATTTATTGTAGAAAAACAAGAGGAGGAACAGTAGATGGAAACGGACACTAGAGGTCAGCATCAAGTATGCAAACTGCCTGCCTGTTGAAGTTTGCACATGAGGTTAAAAACAATGGTTACCTGGATGAGGTCCTGCCTCTCCTTCTCGCCTGTGCTGATGGCCTTCTTGATGCTCCGCAGCTCGTTGAAGATGGCCTGGGCCTCATCCAGCTTGTAGTTTGTCTGACTGCAGGAAATCTTCCTATCAATCCTGAGAGAGAAAAAATAAATATATTTTGGATTAATTTGTGGATCGATTCGTTTTTAGATTGATTGATTAATAACCAGAAAGCAAAAGTTACCTCAAAGAAGATTTTTTACAGAATTAAACAAGGAAAAATCAAAACCTTTTCCACTTGAGGAGTTCTGGGTAGAACACATTGTCACATGAAAAGATTTTTTTATGTTAAATTAAACATTTTGGTACAATTATTGCTCTAAGTGGGTTGCTCATTCAACTAAAGGTGTTTTAGAGTCTTTATACAACAGTTAAAGATGAATTGATTACTAAATTAGTTGACAATTTATTTAATAATCGATTAATCACAATTAATCTGATTAATTTTTTCAGTCCTAAGCATAACCCATCAAATCAAAAGTGAATTAAATACTTTCAAGACATCACAGGTCTTTACTTTAATCCCATTTATACCCACACAATGCAGCTCCTTAACAGGCTGCCATAAATAACAATATGGGAAACAGTAAAAGGGACCTCTTTATGCCAAGAATGAGTCCAAACCGAATCTTAAATTGGCTATTATATCATTTTTGTTTCAACTTTGATGTAATAAATAAAGAACCAGAGGCCATTCTACAGTGGATCTGTTTCATTTCATTTTAAAATTTCTACTCAGCCGGTTTAACTTTTGATTAAATCAGATTCTTGTTAAAAATAATTCAACAAGCAACAGTGTGGTTGTTTATATCTCCTTCCTGCAAAAACAAGTCAGAAAAAGGCTTCAGAAGAACATTTAAAGAATTTCTGTGGGAGGCATCATTCATCAACAATGCAACAGTTTTTTTCTTTTTCTTTTATAGACTGTGGTCAGTTTCCGTCATGTGACACCGGATGTGACATTTTGTTTCGATATACAGAGATTTTTTTCCAGGCTTTCCCTGATTTAGCAGACTGAAATAGATGAGCTGACAGGATGTGATTAAGTCTGAAGGATCTAGCCCAACCTTTCTGTATAACTCTGAGTGTACACATGTGTTAACAAACAGTCTTACAAAAGCATTACAAACTCCTTCAACTTCCCACCCAATGACAATCTGAAAAGTGTGGATGTTCGTTTCTTTCCTTTTACACATCTTGAGTCAGTACCTTGCACAATCACTGTTTACTATTCTGAATGAGACGATGTGACCTGGGGGCGCATTTCAACGCGACACATTTCTGCTCAGTGCAGTTAGATGCTGTTGAAATCTTCTGGCTGGCACATTTTTTGTACAATAAACTTACTATAAAGTAGTAAATACAAGTGTACCTAAATATTATTTTCAAACTAAAGTATATTTTCAGTTTACTTGTAGAGAGGATTGTTCGATGTGGCTGCTTTCAGCTGCTGGGAGGAAGGATCTGTGATAACGCTCCCTGATGCACTTAGGGTGCAGCAGTCTCTCACTGAAGGAGCTTTCCAGTTCAGTAACAGCTTCATGCAAGTTTATTGCTGCAAGCATACTAAAGATATTTAGGATATGTAATATATTCAATTAACATGATAGTGAAATGCAACATTTAGCTCAACGAGGATGGGTGTGAAACTTTTCAAAGTTCTGAATAAAAAAGTCTTATTAGGGGAAATGTTGTGACCAGTTGGTTTCCTGATAAATTGACAATCAATTTCCCACGGAGATCAAGACTCACAGTTTCCTGGGTTATGAGATTGGTTGAAATAAATAAAACAACATTTATCATCTTAGCAATAATATATTATTCAATAGGCTAAGAGTTCATTTCAATATACTTCAAATTATACTTTCAAAAAGTATTAAGACTTTGATGTATACTTACATCAATTAAATTGGCAAACTTTGGATATATACTTTTGTATAAATGAAATATGAGCCTGAAGTGTACCTAGTTGTGTTAAGGACGTAGAAAAGGTACAATCTGATCATTTTTTTTTTGTTTTTTAAGTCAGAATACATTCTAATCGGAACATGAACTGTTATGCATCTAAACAAAACTACGTCTTGCTACAGATAGCCAACTGGATTTTAGATTAGACTTTAACTAGGCCATCTATTACAATGTGTGAGGAATTATTAGGCAAATGAGTATTTCAACCACATCATCCTTTTCATACATGTTGACCTACTCCAAGCTACATAGGCTTGAAAGCCAACTACCAATTAAGTAAATCAGGTGGTGTGCATCTCTGTAATGAGAAGGGGTGTGGCCTAATGACATCAACACCCGATATAAGGTATGCTTAATTAAAAAGTTAAAGCACAGACATATAAAAAAAGCACAAAGTGCTTCACGTTGCTCCTTTTTTAAATGAGAAATTGTCGCTATTTTAGCTAAAACCTATCAACAGGCGAGTCCTCCAGCCTAGCCATGTTTTTTATGCCCCAGCAAGACCCTTCTGACCATCGTCATTCCTACATGTTCGCCGCAAAAAAACGCTGCTGGCATGTCATTGGTCCAACCCGCTGGTGGTTATCAAAGGGACGTTTTAGGGGGAGTCTTTCAAGATGGAGTTGTTGCGAGTCTGACGGCGCACAGTTACTCCTCTAGTGCATCATTAATTAATTAAATTTACTAAGTTGTATAGAGCAGCAGACTGTAGAGATGATTGTAAGAAAAAAAACCATTTGATGTAACCCTCTGTTTGTCTCCCACTTAAAATCCCACCAAGTTCAAGGTGTTCAGGGTGACGGGTGTGGCACCAAACGTCCTCCATCAGCGGGTCTCTCACCACACACCCACTTCCTTCACTCTACTTCAATAGCAGGTACTGTTCAACCACCTCCATCCTGTCTCTTCCCCCCCAGAACAAGCCCTGCTTTGTCTCTCCTTCATAACCCACCGGTGGGCCTTGGGAGTTTAGAAGTTTTATACGCCTACGACAAAAAATAGCAAAAAACTACCGGTCTGTGCCAACTGCGCCCCTACCCACCCTGTGTCCTGCTGGATAAAAATTGAAGGTTCACACTGAAGGCATTAAAACTATGAACTAACACATGTGGAATTATGTACTTAACAAAAAAGTGGGAAACGACTGAAAATATGTCTTATATTCTAGGTTCTTCAAAGTAGCCACCTTTTGCTTTGATTACTGCTTTTCACACTCTTTGCATTCTCTTGATGAGCTTCAACAGGTATTCGTCTGAAATGGTCTTCGTTCACAGGTTTCCCCTGTCAGGTTTAATAAGTGTGATTTCTAGCCTTATAAATGGGGTTGGGACCATCAGTTGTGTTGTGCAGAAGTCAGGTGGATACAGAGCTAATAGTCCTGAAGAATAGACTGTTAGAATCTGCGTTTTGGCAAGAAAAAAAGTAAGTAAAGTAAAAATAGTGGCCATCATTACTTTAAGAAATGAAGGTCAGTCCGTCCGAACAATTGGCAAAACTCTGAAAGTGTCCCCAAGCGCAGTCACAAAAACTATCAAGCACTACAAAGAAACTGGCTCACAGGAGGACCGTCCCAGGACAGGAAGACCAAGAGTCACCTCTGCTGTAGAGGATAAGTAAATCCGAGTCACCAGCCTCAGAAATCGCAGGTTAACAGCAGCTCAGATTAGAGACCAGGTCAATGCCACACAGAGTTCTAGCACCAGACATATCTCTAGAACACCTGTTAAGAGGAGACTGTGTGAATCAGGCCTTCATGGTAAAATAGCTGCTAGGAAACCACTGCTAAGGACAGGCAACAAACAGAAGAAGCCTACTTGGGCTAAAGAACACAAAGAATGGACATTAGACCAGTGGAAATCTGTGCTTTGGTCTGATGAGTCCAAATTTGAGATCTTTGGTTCCAACCATTGTGTCTTTGTGCGACGCAGAAAAGGTGAACGGATGGACTCTACATGCCTGGTTCCCATCGTGACGCATGGAGGAGGAGGTGTGATGGTGCTTTGCTGGTGACACTGTTGGGGATTTATTCAAAATTGAAGGTATACTGAACCAGCATGGCATGATATTCCATCCGGTTTGCGTTTAGTTGGACCATCACTTATATTGACCCCAAACACACCTCCAGGCTGTGTAACGGCTACAGTATTTGACCAAGAGAGTGATAGGTTGCTGCACCAGATGACCTGGCCTCCACAATCACAGGACCTGAACCCAATTGAGATGGTTTGGGGTGAGCTGGACCGCAGAGTGAAGGCAAAAGGGCCAACAAGTGCTAAGCATCTCTGGGAACTCCTTCAAGACTGTTGGAAAACCGTTTCATGTGACCACCTGTTGAAGCTCATCAAGAAAATGCCAAGAGTGTGCGAAGCAGTAAT